GAACTATTATTCAGCCTTAAAATAAATAGATACAATGTGGATGAACATTGAAGACATCATGCTAAGGAAATAATCCAGTCACAAAAGGGAAAACACTGTATGATTCCACTAGTGTAACACACTTACAACCATCAAATGCAAAGAGACGAAGTATAATGGTGGTTGCCCAGGGCTGGGAAGAAGGAGGAATGAGGAGCTGATTGTTTAATGGTACAGAGTTTCAGTTTGAGAAGAGGGAAAAAAAATGTAGAGGTGAATAGTGGTGATGGTTCCATAACACTGTGAATGTACTTAATGCCTTTTCTCTTAAAGATGGTCATCATGGTTAATGTAACATTATATATATTTTACTATAGGAGTCAGAAAAAATTAAATTTTTTGTTACTGTATATTTTACCAAAATTTTTTAAAATCCCAGTAAACATGCAAAAAGAACCCACCCCTTGACTTCTCAGCACCATCTGTGTTGCTGTGCACTTCTAGGTCTCAGAATAATCTCTTCTTGGCTTCTCTGTCTGTTTTCTCTCTTAAAGTTTTCAGCAATTATTTTTTGAGCTCAGTTTCAAAACTGTGCAGGCTATTTTATACATCATTTTAATGATATTTGGGTACTGTTATAAATTCTAACACAAAAAATTAATACCCCTTCTGTAGCTAGGCTTGCCCACAGGTTGCTTTAAAAACTCCAAGTTATTAAAACCATTGCTAAAATATTACTGACATTAGAAGCTTAAAATATTTCTAAATAAAATATCCTCTTTTGTTTTCTCTCTTATGTGTACATTTTTAAGGAAAACAATTTTGCTACATTTGGAAGACACAAATTATTATGGTAAAGAATGGTAATACCAATTTTTTCTACATTTAATTTAGCTAAAACTTTTTTTAGCCATTAATAGAAAAATCAAGACTTTATTAGTCTCATGCATTGCTAGTAGGAATGAAAAATGGTGCCAACTCCTATGATGGGGAATTTGGTAATATCTAGCAAAATTAAATATGTATTTTTATCTTTGGATCCAGCACCTCTAAGAATTCCACTTCTAAGAATATATCCCAAAGTCCTACTGGCAAACATAAGAATATGTACATTAATTGCACAACTATTGATAATAAAGACTAAAAATAACTTAAATGTCCATCAATAGAGACCTAATTTAACAAACTGGTACATCTGTGCCATGAAATACCAGACAATCATAAAAGGGAATAATGACTATTTCTGTGTATTCGTATTGAGTGATCTGCACTATATAATTGCAAAAAACGTAGCAGAAAATTTGTATATTATGCTACTATTTGTCTTTACTAAAGATCAAATAATGGAAGGATAAGATACACAATTAAAAATAAAGTCTATTAATAAGAGAAGGGAGGAAATAGAGTGAAGGCTTATTTGAAACTACTTTTATGGACTTGAGTTTGGAATCATTGTATATAATTATAAGTGAAACTCAATTTTAGAAACAATTCCTAAACAATAAAAAATGAAATAAAATTAATGAATCTGGGTTCCTAATCAGCAGTCTAAAAGAACCACATGAATTTAAAACATCATTGATTGACTATTGATTTCTGGTAGAAAGTACTCTTAAGGATAAAAAGAAATATAACTCTTAAACTGTTTCCTATTTATTATTTATTTATTTTGCAGTTTTTGGCCAGGGCTGGGTTTGAACCCACCACCTCCAGCATATGGTGCAGGCACCCTACTCCTTTGAGCCATAGGCACCACCCTATTTTTATTTTTTTTAAACAGGGTCTCTATCTGTTGCCCAGCCTAGAGTGCAGTGGTGAATCATAGCTCACAAGAAACTTGAACTCGGCTGAGACTACAGGCACATCTCACCACGCCTTACTGCTTTTAAAAATTTTCTGTGGAAATGGAGTTGCCCAGGCTGCTTATTCCTGGCCATAAGAGTCCTCTAACTTTTTTCTCCTAGAGTATTGGGATTACAGATGTGAGGCACCACACCCAGCCAAATTGTTTTCAGTGGTCATATTTTTGGTAGTCACGTTGGCATTGTTATTTTGAGAGTATTGTGTGTGTTGGGGAATTAAATCCAATAGATGTTTATATTGAGAAACAAAGTTTTTGGCATGGCTGGAAGGAGATACAGATACAAAATTCATGTGGTTAAGTTCGAAAGCTCATAGTTTTGAATTTAAATCAGAAATATAACTGTGCACTGGTAGACATACGATCCTCCGAGTAGCAAAGACCGTCTCTGGCACAAAAACTGTGGTATTTAAATATGATTCCTGTTGAAAGGAACCTGCACCTCCCAGAGAAATGGCTGATTCTGGATCTTGGGCAGAAAATGTGTAAGATGATCCTGGAGCATCTTGTCATACCAGAAAACAAGAAAGGTATCAAAGTCTACTGGAGTTGTGTTGAAAGCACCCTGGTGTCAACTTGAGCAGACTCTCTGCGGCTAACAGTGCCAGTTATTGAAAACACACCAAATGTGGTGAGTTCATAATGGCTCATACTTCCTCCAGACAAACACAACAATACCTCATTAGTTAACTTTGGAGGATGCTAGGGAGCCAGCATTTTGAAAAATAAAAGTGTCAAAGATTATATTTAACTCATTATTTAATGAGGGAACCAGTAAGATGTTACCAGCAGTTTAAAGGAAACTCCAAATACTGTACACATATAGGCAATAAAGAATGCAGAAATAAATCTACAGATAGATGTAAAAGTGGTCAAACCCATGAGGCAATGAGCAATTACCTTCCACTATACAAAATTCACTTATATTTGTATTGTCAAGAATCATTTGCATTATTCTCAGTTTTCTACAACTTGCAGTTTGAAATGGCACACAGAGGTGGGGTGGAGGTCGGTCAGGCCTATAATCCCAGCATTTGGGGAGGCGAAGGCCAAGGTGGGAGAGGCCAGCCTAGAAAAGGTAGCAAGACCCCTTCTCTATGGAAAAAGTTTTTAAAAAGTAGTTGGCTGTAGTGGCATGTGCCTCCAATTTCAGCTACTCAGGAAGCTGAAGCAAGAGAATCACTTAACCTCAGGAGTTAGAAGCTTCAGTGAGCTATGGTCATGCCACTGCATACCAGCCTGGATGACAGAGCAAGACCCTGTCTCCAAAAATATATATATGTGTGTGTGTGTGTGTGGGTATACGCACACACATATATGCATGTATATGAAGACAACAAAGGGCAGAAATTGAGGATGTACAGTAATTATACGTGTTCATTTTTAAGTCTTTAATAAGTTTTCCTGACAGTCTCTCCAATCTTGAACATATTAAAGATTATTCTCCATCACAAAAAGGTCTTATTTTATTAGACTTAGCCAGATTATTTACATAGGTATAGCAAGAGTGTTAGTTAACCAGATAGGCCTCCTTGAGTTTATTTTGCAAATCTAATGCCGTATCAACTTATTGTTTTAAAACGTGGAAAATGAGCAGAGTCAAATATATTCTGCTTTTCCTATGTGTACTACACCTCAGGATAACAAAACAGTTGAGGGGAAGTCTCTGTGTATTAATAAACAAAGAAAATACACACCTGTAATCCTAGCACTCTGGGAGGCTGAGGCAGAAGGATCTCTTGAGACCAGGAGTTCAAGACTAGCCTGAGCAACAGCCAGACCCTATCTCTGCAAACACCAGAAAAGTTCACCAGGTGTGGTGGTACATGCCTGTGGTCTCAGCTAATCAGGAGGCTGAGGTAGGGAGATCGCTCAGCCCAGGGGTTTGAGGTTGCTGTGAGCTGTGATGACACCACTGTACTCTAGCCAGGGCTATAGAGCCAGACTCTATCTCCAAAATACACACACACCCACAAAAGAAAATGATGAAGTTAGGCTGGCACTATTTTGGAAATTCTAATAAATGAACAAATCTAAGCAGTCATCAAAAATGGCTGATAAAATCACAAAAAGAGAAAATAATCCCCTGTTATTAGTCTGAATTTAGTCAAACCTCTGGCTCTAACTACCAAATTGCAAAAATACAGAGGCTAGTGAAACATTAAATGACAGAAGACTGTAATCAGAAAGTTTAGGATGTGGGACTCTCTAGAGGACAACTGAACTGGTTTCTTCAGCAAATTGTTTTGTTTTGTTTTGTTTTTTAGTTTTGGCTGGGGCTGGGCTTGAACCCACCACCCCTGGTATATGGGGCCGGCGCCCTACTCCTTGAGCCACAGGTGCTGCCCTTCTTCAGCAAATTTTAAGGAAAATCAAAACAATAGGGCAAGACCCATGGCGTAGTGTCCAGTGGCACTCAACAGAATCTGTGTCCTGTGTGGCCTGATTCAAAGTGTGGGAAAACATAGAGACAATTGGAGAAATGCAAATTCTGAATATTTGTGATATTAATGAATTTTTCATGATAATAGATGTGAATAAAGTATTTTGGTTATGATTCCAGAGAGTATCTTAATTACTTTAGAAATACACACTGAAATATTTAAGGATGGATGTATATGATAGCTGGTATTTGCTGAGAAATAGTCTGCAGGGGAGGAGCTATAAATGAAACCCAGTTGGCTGAGAGTGGATTGATTATCAAAATTGGGTGGTGGGTACATGGAACGCCATTAGCTGGCTTTCTCTGGTTTTACATATGTATGACATTTTCTGTAACAAAAATTAAAAGAAACAAACTTAAAGGCAAATATTTTAGTAAGTAGGCTTCTTTCACTTGATTTTCCTTAAAAATTTACAACTTGTTGCTGTTAAGAATATGCAATGCATGATCTTTTCAAGCTGAGCTTCTTCAGTATTTTATCATAATAGGTTTCAAAGAAAATCATGACTATGGCTTTTCACAGATTCCACTTTTTTATTGAAGGTAATAGGACTTAGGAATTTTGAGAAATAATGTAATAACCTAACATTTCCTTTAAAACACATACACGTTATCTCTGTAATTATCGGATCAACTGAACACTGTGGTAAAGCTAAAACACCTTTCCTTCTAGCCTCTCCAAGTGGATAATCAATTTTTTGTTTGGTTTGTTTCCAGATAACCTTTTTCATGCTGCTTTCTGCAGTGTGTGTGATGCTGAATTTGGCTGGTTCAATCCTCTCCTGTCAGAATGCTCAGCTGGTCAGCTCCTTAGAAGGCTGCCAGTTGGTGAGTAATGAAATGCAAACCTTTTCATAAAGGTCACGGGCTTTGATTTTGCACAAATACAACAAAATAATTTTATTATATTCTTGAGCTCTCATGTAAACTTTCAATTACTCATGATGTTTTCGAGCTAAAGAATTTAGGTTAAATTGGTTCATTTCTAGAAATTCATTCCATTCAAACTTGTTCTACTTGTAAATCAGTAATGGAGTATGTTTAAGGATCACAGTGTAGTGTGATTTTAGAATAAGCATACTTAGTAACAATTATATTTTAGCATTTGTTGTATTGCTTCTTACTTGGACTGAATTTTTAAAAATCAATTTTAAGTGTCCAACATATATATAAGCTTGATAATAAGTGCATCAAAACAATATAGTTTTCATTTTTGAATTGAAAAGATAATTTTAATCCAGGGGAATCGTCCATGGTGAGCTTCTGCATACGTTGTAGGAGATGGCTAAATGGTTCGTTGAATGGGACTATCATTTTAGGATCACTTGGCTTATGATGCTGCAGCGCATGTGTGAGCCCAAGACAGAAATGGGTGTATCCAGGGTCGTGTTCCGGTGTGGATACACCCAGACTCCTAAAGGACCCACCGTGACTCCTGGGTGTAGGGGCATCAGCATTCGATTTTTTATTTTGGAGACAATGCCCGGCTGCCTTTCAGAGCTGTGTTCCTCCTCAGCTGTCATCTGCTTGCTCTGCCTGTGGCTGTCATTCTGAGAAGTCAGTTCTGAATTACTAGAAGTTTATCTGCACGGGGGCCATGCCTGCTTGTCTTCAGGCCGTGTTGTTAGAACCCACGGGGGCGGCTGTGGGAAGCCTGGTGCTCTGCCTTCTGATCTACAAAGGCCAGCAGGTCTTTATAGGTTGGCACAGTTTCAATGCTGAAGCACCTACTGAGTTACAAAAAGTAATTTTCAGACTTAATCTTGTTATTTTCCCTTGAATATGGGCTGGAGAATATCGATCAGATTTCATCCCCATCTGGCGTGCACAGAAGTATCCTCGGTGTGGCACAGTCCTCTCCATGGTTACTAAGAATTGGCACAACCTGGAGCTCCATCTCCATCGGAAAGACTTCCCATCTTGTATCTGTAACTTGGTCAGCCTCTTTATTCCTAAATATGAGGTAAATATGGTAAAATCTGGCAACTGCAAGGGATTGACTATTTTTTTCTCACACTCCCATTTTCTGATGCAGGCCCCTGTGTCAAGGACACAAATAACTGGGGTGAGGTGAAGCAATAGTGCCTGGGGACCCAGACCAAAAAGAACGCCCATGGGTAGTGCCCATTCTTGAAGGAAGGGCTGACCCCTCTGGGCCTTAATCTCAGAAACCCTTTCTCCACATCACACACTAAATGAAAACATAGGAAAGTAGATTTGTTTTTTTTCTATTTCTTATTGCCATCAGTGCCTCCACAAATAAATGCAAAGGACATCATAGGCCCACAAATGTATACACATCTCTTTGGTTAGATGGTACCTCGGAATTGTCAATACAGCAGAATGTCTGTGAGGTGACCACTATGGGACTGTCACACACTGGTCAGCATACAGAGGGTCAACGTAAGGGACTAGGCCTGCTGTACTGATATGCACATGTGGTGCATGTCCGTTCTGTGGAAATTAGGTCAACTTGAGGTGGTCCGTGTAGGGAGGTGATTGGCTATGGAAGTGCTACTGTACTTATCTTACTTCAGACCTTGATCCCAGCTATGTCCCTGCCCTGGCTCATACATAGCCGGTAATCTCACAGCCACAGAGTAGCGTGGTCACCTGCTGCGGGACAGAGCATGGATGGAAGCCATGGCCTCGTAACCTGCTGTTAGGACAGGTCACCTCCTCCCTCAGCTTTACTTCCCTTTCCTGTTAAATGTGGAGATTACCTGCCCTGAGTTTTTCATAAAATATTAAGTGAGATAAAGTCTATAAAACACTCAAATATGCTCCATTACTATTATAAGTATGCTCCATTACTATTATAAAAATCATATATTTACAATAAAACTTCAAAAACCAAAACACACTCCATAATTCTACCACCCAGCTCACAAGGCCCTTCTGGTCATGCCCTGTGTATGTCTACGTATGTGCATGTGTGTGTGTGTTTAGTATGTTTAAATCTTCTATCTCCTCATGCTGCTTTGTGACTTATCTTTAAATTGATCATGATTCTATGTTTTAAATTTTTTTTAAACCTTATTTGTAATAGCTGCTTTGTATATATGAGTGTTGTTTATCTAACCAAATCTCTGCTTTTTGCATTTAGAAAGGTGACCACCATTTTTATATAAATTCTATTCATAGTCCCCAAACATGGATTTGCATGATCAGAAAGCATCTGTATCTTTAGAGCACTTGATCGGTACGGACGTGCTGGCTTTTACGAAGGCTTACCAGTTTATACTCCCAGTATGTGGCAATGTTCTTCTTCCTACACTCTTGCCAGCGCTGAAAATGGTTACTTTTTTAAATCCATGCTAATTTGGAAAGGATAAGATGACATCATTGGTTTAATTTGAATTTCCTTGAATATAAGTAATTGAACTTTTTACTGATTTTTAATTGATTAATCTTTATTGTTTGTACATTTATACATATTCACATATGTGAAATTATGTATGATATATATGTTTGCACTACTTGGAGCTTATTTCTTTTTCTCTGTATTGTTTATATGTTATCTATACCCTGTTTTAGATTTAAATATTTACCATATTGATTTATAAAAACTCTGAATAGGTTTTTGAATTCTTAGGCTTACAATATGTTGGGCAAATATATTTCCTGGGTTGTCATTTGTCTTTTATTTTTTGACACGGAAAAGTTTTTAGTTTTTGTGTATTCAAATTTGCCAGCGTTTTTCCCTGTAGTCTCAGCTTGGAACCAAGCTTAGTAAGATTTCTCCTCCCCAAGATGAAGCTGCCCCCAATTTCCAGGTTAGGGTACGCTTTTCTGGAATTTACTGGATAAATTTAACATTTTCTCCCCAGATGGTTAGGGAGTTTTCTTTAAACTATTTTCTGAGCAGTCTTGTGCTTCCCTGCTGACTTGAAAGGTCATCCAAACCATGAAGCGTCCTCTGCCAGTGTCCTCTGTGGCAAGGTACATACTAAGAAGGCCACAGGCCATTTGTTGGAAGGGTGGTAGGGCCTGTGTAGTAACCAAGTGAGGCTGAGATCAGGCAGGGGGCTCACTGTTTCTGAGGAAGCTTCTGTTGGTCCAGAAGTCTGACTCCGAGTAGGGGCCTGCAGTGGAAGTCAGCAAGGTGCAGTCTGCAAGTGTGAACAATTCCAGTGGTTCTTCACCTTTTTGCCCATTTTCTCTGGAGTCGGAGTCCAGGGAGGTGCGTTTAATTAGCCACACCAGAAGAAGAATCTATCTTACTGTCCCACCAAACTGAATCCAACACATTCAAGAGGGGATTTCCCAAAACAAAGTTAGGTGCTATTAGGAAGGTCCAGGTGGAGGAAGAGACATGAAATGTATGCGCACCTACCAGTATTATCCTGTGTATCCAGACGCACAGATGATGGTGGCCATTTGCCTATTTATAGGTTTTATTCTGTCCCGTTCCAATGTCTGTTTATTCATATTCCAGAACAATACCACCTTAGTTACCTTGACTTTATTTTATTTTATTTTATTTTATTT